CCAGTCGGTTTCAGCAATAGGACGGGAAAACAGCCGTAGCACATGACGGAAACCCTAAATATTTGCCAAAATGAAAGACGGGGGGGAACAGGGCTCATTATATCCCTGACAAGAGGACGGGAATTTTGTCTCGCTGTTAAGCAGGAACTACCGATGTGACAAGCAAAAACGAAACAACTGGAAAGCACATCAGCAAAACGGGCCTGGAAGAAGCTGTACGGTCAGGTGAAACCGATCGTTAACGTTGGCAAGCAGAAGCCTTTCACTGGTATACAACAGGGCAAGTCCACCGAACTACTGCATGACGCTGAAGATTGTCTGAAACGAAGGACTGAGCACTTGAGGCATCGAGCTCTTGAACAGGCCAGGACCTATGGTAGACTTTGAAGTGAATGAAGACCATTGGCAAATCAGGGCGCTGATTGCTCCACACCATCAATCGATGAAATTCGAAGAGCAATGCTACTCTGCCGTTGCTCAAAGTGCCGCAGACACTAGGAATTGGTGCAGACTGCCTGGCATGGGGAGGCGAAAACCTCTTCAGATGGATTTGCCAACGTTTCCCCCGCATTTGACCGAAATCAGTCATCCTCAACGACTGGAAAAAGCATGATCATCCTGATTTTCAATTCAGTGGCTACACGAATTGCACAGACTATCGAGGGGTAGCTCTACTGCCTGTGTAGGAAGGAGTTCGTGCGAATTATCCTTAGACGACTGAGGGAGGCGATTGACCGTTCGCTGCGAATAAATCAAGCAGGCTTCCGGAATGGACATTCGAGAACGGACAACAAATTCGCGCTTAAAGGAAGGAATAGTCGAGCAGTGCAGGAGCTCCAACTGTCATGGTATGCAACGTTCTTGGACTTCTGGACAGCCTGCAATTCAGTACATTGTCAGAGTACTGAGGAGTATCAATTGACACTATGGAATCCAACTGTCAATGGCAAATTTGATAGAACGACGATGCGAAACGAGCCGTCCGAAATGATGGATCATTGTCGGAATGACTCCATATAACCAGCGCAGTTCAGCGTGACGAATTGATCTCTCCCTTGTCATTGAATACCATGATGGAAAAGCGTCGTCTCAAAAGTCAATGAGCGACTGAAACTCTGAGGGACGGAGCTGGAGGTAGCTGGTGGTATTTTTAGCAGACCTTGAGTATGCGGATGACATCGTGCTGCTGATCGACATTGCAGCCAGCATACAACTCTCTCTCAAGTCGTGTGCAGCACCAATATGGAAGTGAGACTGGAAATGGATGCCAAAAAAACGAAGGTCATTACCAACAGATCAAAAATCATTTGGAATGGTACTGCGTTAGAAGAGTAGACTATTTCGAGTACCTTGGAGCAGTGCTGGCTAACGACGGAGGCATAGATCCTAAAATGAACTCGCAGCCGCGAATTTCGAGAGGCTCTATGAAATATGGAAAGATCAGACTGTAAGAACTGACACAAAGGTCAGCATTCTGCAAGCAGTCGTATTCATGGTGCTGTACGGTTTGGAAATATCAGCTACCTTTAAGCTCATGAAACTCATCTGGACAACTTCCAACAGCGTAGTTTACGAAGCGTCCTTGAAGTACGATGGTTCCGTCAGTTTACGAACGAACAAGTGTTAAACACCAGCGGTTTTAAGAAACCACCTGAAGAACTCAGAAATCTATGCCTCGCTTGGTTTCATTAAACAAAAAGCAAGAAAGAGAAGGGAAATATTCATACAACCTTTCTAACAAGAGAACCGTTGATTGGCAGCAGACATTTTGGAAACAATATTAATGCTGGAAGCAAATACTTGAGGCAGACCTGTTTGCAACGAAAAATATGACCCTTGCTGCAACATTGCAGAATTTCAAGATGTATTGCCATTTTTAAGTCATATATCAAAAATTTAGGCTACCTTGCTGTATAAACTCCTCTAGCCTAAGATGATGATGAGAAAGGAACAACAAGTCGATGAGATAACAACAGATTGTCCCAGAGAAAAGAATTTCAATAATAAGATATTTCTAGAAAGGCATAGGCCAATAGGTCCTTTTTGGCTAAAGGTTGAGGTATACTGCATCCACTCTTCGAAACTACGTGAGTTTCATTTATACTGTAGCATCCGTTACTACTTTTATGTACCGAATAAAACCGATGTAGTGCGGCCCGAAACGTTTGCAACTCCTGTAATAAAGGTTTCGTAAAATGGGCCATTTTCCTGTGCTTAAAATCGCTGAATCGGAAACTTAAATCTTTACAATTCGCAGCGTAGAAATTAACCTTTGAAATCAGAGACTCGTTTAGTTATAGAATATTCTCAAAGGCTATTTTAAGAAGAATTATGAATATTTTGAGAACAGATACATTTTATGGCCTACAGTTTAGTCAACCATTAAACAACCAGGGATGAGAAGCATTTACTGTGGTAGAAACGATCTGATCTGATTTTGGCAAACCGGAACAAACGCCGGCAAGATGCGAGAAAAAGGCATGTAGAATGAATGGGATTTGTCAATATTATTGAACCACGTGAAAATTTTTATTTGACTTTTATTCAAACATGGTTACTCATTTTATTGTTCAGGAACGTAAATCGCATTGATCAAACCAACACTGTCCTGAATTTCAGGATGGCATTTGAAACATTCTCCGGAGGCTTTGCGACAATTTGGGTGATTCTTCACGCTCGATGTAAACCTGCATAATTCTTTGATTTAATTTTGTTGGATATGAGCACCATGTTTCTCAGTTATAGCCGATTTCTATTGCAATCCCTTCCATCATTTATCCGTATCGAAAGGCGTCTCAGTGTTTGCTCTATCGCGGTGCAGAGTTTCAGCCTTTCTTCTTCAAACTTGCCCCTCAACCTTTTCTACACACGGGCATTCTCGATGTCTTATTAAAGTTCTAAAGCTAGAATTTCACAGTTTACGGAATGTAAACTTCACGCTTTCACGTCACACTTAGAAATCTGTCGAGGATTGATCACCAAGAACGTCAAATGAATGTTCAGTAATGAGTACTGTCCCTTCGTGAAACCTTCTGAAGTGAAAATTTTTTTTAAATACAGTCATATGTTTTAAAACTCAGCGAAACCTGAACGATGAAGAGATCAAGTGGTTATACGACTGGAATGGTAGCTTTTAACTTAAGAACTGTGTCGACTAAACAATGATATTCAGCTGCTGAAAATACGATTTTCTGATTCTGCGCATTGTATATTCACATAAAGTTGGAAACGCTATTTTGCATTTATCGCACATGGTATCAAAGTGTATTCAGGCACTGTCATTAACCGTTCGAAAATAGAAAGTTCAGAATTGACTTACGCTCTAATAGCAATTAAGCGGTTCACTGTGTGCGCTAAGCAAATCTAGTATTAGAAATTGAAATATCACGATTACAGGCTGAATGGCAATATGGTAATTACTCCGGAGCATAGGGGTTATGATTTTTTCAAAATTGTGCTCCACTTTTTCATGCAGAGACAAATCGACAAGTAGAAACTCTTCAGTTGCGTGAAGCAGTTTAGAAGTTGCCACTGCCAAAGAAACTCACAGTGATGCAGGGCAGTTCTTACTGGTGAGAGTGATAAAAATGAGTTGTACAACTGCTCCTATTTTAGATCCTCAAAGGATGATGATGACTAAAAAAAGATCGCGTGACGTTTATTCTTCTTTTCCCTGTTTGAAGTGAGAAGACTGACCAAGAACCCTAAAATGCTCGATTAAGGAGGTAATAAAGCAACGGCATGAGGGATTGCCTCATTTTTTTGCCATGTCCGACGATCAGTAAAACACCGTTTCCATAAACTGAAACGCGATTTTCGAACCATTACCGATTAGAGAAAACATCTCGTGAATATTCTCAAAAAAAACGCCATATTTAAAAACGTAGATTCTAATAGACTAGTTGACATGCAATTGTGTTACTCAGCAAGCATCGATTCTTGAATCAGCACTGACTCAGAAGGACAAATCAAGAGCCGGCAGATGCAGATCAAGTATCCAAAGAAATTTCGATCGCCACATTTTAAAGTTCATGACAAACTAAGAAATGCACGTTAAACTAGCCACATTGTCAGCAATACCAAGGACTGTCAATCAGTAAAGTAATGGATCAAACGTTATGGCATATTGCCCTTAGCCGTGAAAATTGTCGGTTATCATTGCGAAGGTAACCGGCATTGTTGAAACGTTCTATGCTTTATCAGTCAGGTCTGTTTAACATAATAAAAGGATGACACTTCGCTGCTGTCAATAATTCTCAGAATAAGCATAGTAAACTATTTTATGATGTCACCTCTCCTCTGAAAGAATCTTGATTTACCAGAAGTACAGAAGTTCCAAACGAGGTCGAAAAACGTTAACGTCATGGATGATGTTAGTGGTGTCACAGAAAACATCATAAAATACCATTTACTTTCACACTATGCAAAAAGTTGTTCAATCAGATGATTGGCAAGTGCCGATATTTCATATTCTGGCTCTGACCATGGGAAGGTTGTGAACGACGACTAAAACAACATAAAAAACTAGCCAATCTTTCTATGTTTAACACAGGCCGAAATGTCGGTACTAGTTAAGCTTTGGATTGATCATATTATTTGCGTTGCATGTAAATACACCATATTTTCTGCCGTTTTCAGAAAATGAATAAGCTTTTCGCGTCAACTGACAAATCGACGTCGCCATCCTTCTGAATGACAGATGATATTCTTCATTATCACATTTCTACGAACAATGAC